GTGACTTTATTTCATGACACATTTAGAATTTTTTTTGTTGCTGGCACACAATGTTTAGTGATGCCATTATAATTGTAGTTATTATCTTTCCTCTGGCCCTTCCCCCATTTAATTATTTCTTTCTTGTCAGATTGCTTGCTGCCTTCTTTCTCCCTCTATTTCAAATATTTCATGAATCAAATAATTGGTGATAACACCCTTCACTACATGTACTTCTTGTGATGTTTGCATCTGTCACATTTTAGGTAAGGAAGTAACAGAAGATTTTCCCTGCTCTCTCCTCTCTCTCAAAAAATAGAGCAATGTAGGTCTGCATAAAAAAGAACAAGACCAACATTTTTTAGATGTGAACTGAACAAGCGAGTTCAATAAAGTATTTATTATAATGGCTCTTTTTAATCTACTGATAAATTGATGCATCTCTACGAGCCATTCTTGGTAAACGTGTGTGCAAAAGGTAAATAGACGTATTTCTTTACCTTTCTTGCGTCAAGTTATTTTGTGAACATTTAACTGAAATTTTCCCTCAAACATGAAGGTGAAGAGATTTCTACTTGACAAAAAAATGTTTATTTTGTGCATTGAATTGAAAAAGTAAAACGCTGAAATTAATTCATGAGCGGTTCATCTTAGTGATCTGTATAATCAGAACCACTAAGGAAACCAATCAATTTTTCTTTTCATTGCCGACCGGTTCAGCCATATAATAAATACATATATGTAAAATAAAGGGTTGCTTTCTTTCCAGGTATCCATGGTATTCTGGTTCCTATTCGAGACAAGAATCTCAATGTGATGCCAGGAGTCCAGATTCATGACATGGGACACAAAATGGGTCTGAATGGAGTCGACAATGCCAAGTTTTTCTTTGACAATGTTCGTGTGCCCAGAGAAAACCTGATAAACCAGTTTTCTGATGTTGCTGAGGATGGAACCTACACAACAAAAATTAAAGGTGGCATCAGAAATCGTTTTCTTGCAGTGGCTGATCAACTTCTCTCTGGTCGTCTGTGCATAGCGAGCATGGCCCAAGGTACTTTTTTTGTTATCACTTATGGCCAGACAGAACTTAGTTTCCTTGAAATTGTGCCCCAAACATTATTTGGCACTCAAGATCTGGATTTTGAAGACTATAAATTGTCCTCACCTTATACAACATTATTATGCCACTTGACTGACCACCACAATAGCTTTTAGCAGGGCTCGAGACTAACTTTTCAGCTTGCTAGCCCAGTGGCTGGTGACAGGTTTGATTCACTAACCAAAACAAATTTTTCACTAGCCGGACGCAGACATTTGCAAACATAGGCATTGATGTTATAATTATAGGCGTCGCTCAACAACAAAAACTGAAGTTTTTGCTTCTGTGAGAAATTCCCACAGAACTTTGCAACCCGCCACTGCAAAACATTCCTTTCTTTCAAAATACCAATTCAAGATAATTTCTCATGAACACAACAATTCATTCCATCTTAGCTTTATTTACAAGTTGCAAACATAGGCATTGATATTATATAGGCATCATTCAAATTTTCGAGCAACTGCAACTGTCCTGTTTAAAATCTTTTTTTTTCTTTGATTTGTAACATTTGCATACAGTAGCGCAAATCTTTATTGCACTAAGTGTCTCAGAGTCCAATGCACTGTATGTGCCACTTATAATAGACTTGATGAAAATTTGTGTGTGTTGTTGAAAGTGTTTGTCTCCCTTTCATGTATTTGTAGTTTGTATAGTGTGATCATCCAGGTAAGGGTAGTTCTGAAAAGAACTGCTGTTGATGACTCATCTTCAGAGTCAAGTGATACTGCTGGGTTCAGACCATTTACCTATATGTTGCATATATTTTTAAACAGGTGCATCAAAAGCCTGTCTTGCCATTGCCCTTCGCTACTCTGCGACTCGTCTGACTGTAGGACCTGATGGGAAATCCAACACTCCCATTCTCAAGTACCAGCTTCAGCAAAATGCTCTGATGCCATTGCTGGCATCTACCTATGCCATAGACTTTGCACTGCAGTATGTCAAAGATCGCTGGGCATTTCAGGTAGTGTAGAATAAAGCTGCTACGATACTATCAACATGTATTGGATTGTGAAAAATCCGGTTTGAAATCTGCAATTTGAAAGGGTACATTTAGATGTTGCTCAAAAAAAGGTGTTAATAAAATGTACATATTGGATTGAAGCAACCTAAATAATAACACTGCAAAGGAGACCAGTGTCAAAGTTGTCCAGAGACTTTCAGTGTGAGTCTGGGAATGGCTGGAAGAGTGCCACTGATAAAGAATAATTCTCTATAATTATAGGCCTGCAATGCATACAGACAGCTTTATTATTTAGCTCTTTGTATGCATTGCAGGCCTATGATGATATTCTCTAACATGATAGGCCTGCAATGCATGTACAGAGCCTTATTATTTAGCTCTCTGTGTGCATTACAGGCCTATGATGATAGAGAATTTATTGTGATTTACATGAACTACTCTTTTTTTCTTTCATCCTTGAGTAGAGTTAGGCATTCTTCTTCAAGAGTTTCACAGGATAGTTTATACCTGGGTTACTTTGACAAGAATATTAATCAGTAGTCACAGTTTGTAGACAGAAACTTGAAAGAACTGTGACAGGATAACTTCTGTTTTGCAGACAGAACTAGATAAAAAAAATACTACCGCTAATTTCATAGGCGTTGATCACAAGACTTTAAGGAATAAGAGTCCTTATGTTTGAGGCAGTTTCCCACTCCAAACTTACGGCAGTTAAAATCATTTCAATTTTGCTTTGTAGGCTGCAGATGGGTCTGAACATGGGGATGTGGTGACAATGTGTTGTGTTATTAAGGCCATTGCTGGCTGGCATGTGTCTGAGACAGCTACTGTTTGCCGTGAGAGGTGTGGTGGGCAAGGCTATCTGTCATGCAACAAGTTTGGCATTGACGCCGCCCTGTCACATGCTTGTATGACAGCAGAAGGCGACAACTCAGTCCTTATGCAAAAGGTAGCTACCGAAAGGCTGATGGTTTTCAAGCCTACTGAACATCAAATTGCAGGAGGTGACGAGGCAGACCTGAACAACCAGGAGTATCTCCATTCCTTGTTAGAGTCACGTGAGAACAAACTTTTCATATCTCTAGGGATGGAGATGAAGAAAGCAGGGAAGGAGGGAAGGTTTGACACCTGGATGTACCAGGAGCAGGATCTTGTTCAGGCAGCTGCTCACGCATATGGGGAGCGGCTCATCAGTGAGACCTTTGGCAAAGCCCTTGACAAAGCTGACCCTGGTCTACAGCCAGTTCTGAAGAAACTTCGTCATCTCTATCAGATGGCAGTCGTCAAAAAGGATCTTGGCTACTTCACAACCTCTGAGCTAATGTCTACAGCCACTGGTGCAAAAGTAGGGAAAGTAACTGCTGATCTGTGTCGCGATGTGGCACCGCAGGCCCTTGCCCTCTGTGATGCTTTTGGTATCACTGATGAAATGCTTAATGCTCCGATTGCAAGAGACTGGGTGGAGTATAACACAGTGGACAACCAGGGAGAAGTTGAAGGCCTACGGTTTTGATGCTGGTCTCACAAACTCCGTTGGCCTGTTGTTGAACTTTCCTAGAGGATGTTTAGAGCTATTAGGAACCTTAACCAATAATGACAGTGACACCAGTGACAATGGCTAGTAAAAAAGGGATATACATTTTACCTTCAAATTTCGTAATTATCTGAATCTGCTCAGTATGTCAATCAGTCTTTAAACCAGCTCAAACTTTCACTTCCAAAAAGAAGTACAAAAAATTTGCCTTTGTGGCCTACATTCTCCAAAATATGCAGAACTTGGTCATTGCAGAGGATGGCTGCAAAATGTACAAAGATTTAAAACACAGATGCACAGTCATTGTTTTGCTCATTGAACCTTTCGTTTGGTGGCTTTTCATTGCAGTTGCCGTCATGGTTTGCTTAAGCTCCCAATAATATTTATGATTATCCATGTCAGTGGTACATGGACATTCTCGTTTAATGATGCGAAGAACAATGATTTGAATACAGTTTCACCAGTGTCATAAAACCAGAATTAACATGTTGTAAATTTAATTCCCAGCTATAAAAGGTCTAGGAAAGTCTTACAAATTGGAAATATTTTTGGGACGTGTTTTATGCAATGGGTAGAATGGTCACAAGACTGGGCTTACTCACAAGTCAGAATACTTCTTTTTAATGCTTTCTGCAAATTAGTAGAAAAACGAAAAAAATTAAGAACATGCTCTGTTTGTCGCATGTGTTCCCAAAAGTGTGTTGGCAGTTAACTCTAGCCTAAGATGTGTTTGTATTCAAAAATTGACTGTTTGGGAAGGTGCAGCAGGCAAGGGCCTGTTTTCAACACAGGGTTGGAAAGCTTCATAGAGCTTTTGCTGTATTTATATCTAGAAGGTGGTGTAAAAGAAGCTATCTTGTGCTTAGCCTTTATCGTTATGCCCAATAAAAGTGACACATGAGATGGTTTACATTTCTGTCTTGGATTTTTTCAATTAAATTTAATAAGTGGGTTTGGGTGTGGTCTTAAGCAATAACATTGTTGGAGACTCACTGAGTAGAATCTTTCATAAAATTCAGACAGTCATTGTAAAAAGATAATCTCGCCGTGAATGATGCAAACGTATTATGGTCTTTCTGTCCATCCCCAGCACAACACAATGTTGACGTTGATTCATCCAAAGTAGACCCACTATTCCAACATTGTTTGGGGCGGGGGGAATTGAATTATGACTTCTCACTTCAAAATAATGCGTCATCAGTTGGTATTCCGTCAAATTTCCCAACGACTTTTTGGCCAGAATTTTAGCCTTCAATATATACAGTTTCCAGCTTTGTGACACGTTTGCACCGGTGGACTTTTGCTATGTAAACTTCAAAAGCTTTAAGATCTTGCCCTCATCAACTGAGTGTAAATTGGTAAAAGAAGCCCAACTTTTCACAGAAACAGAGCAAGTATTTCAGACTAGAACTTTTGATTCAAACCTCAAAAAGTGATTTCTATGGTCAGCTCTCTTCTCTGTTATTGGTGATAATGCGCATAACTTGTATTTCTGTCATCAGTGGTCTGAAGTTCTTTTTAGCAAACCAAAAATGTCCGGGTGAAATGTAAGCTTCGCGTGGGGGCTTCTGACATGGATACGGGGTTGCTGTTTTGTTTCTTCCCACTTTTGGAAACAAAGAGCACTTTTTATTCAGCCAAAAATTCCAGTTGCATTTTCGGAAATTTCCATTGGGAAATGGGCCAGCATTTTCCACAATATCCAAGAAAAGGACAACCTCGAGAGCCATATATACAAAAATTTTCGAAAATTTCTTCTCAATTTTTAGTTGAATGGTTCGTATTTCGGACATTAAAATATTTTAGGATTTTAGGGAAACTTTCCACGGACATTTCCGAACCACTTGCCCCCGTTTAAAACGTTCTGGAATTTTTGGGTTCAGTGGAAAGCGCCCTAATAGTTAGTCATCAAAGAAGGGTTGGAGGCGGTGCAAGCGAAATGTAATTGTTCTCTCGTGGATAAATTAGCCAATAGACCTTTTGCATGTGCTGCAGGAGTGACCGTGTCTGTGGAACGGATCGATTTCCATTTAACAATCACAAGAAACAGTTGAAAGCTAGTAACATCCTCCTTTCCTATTGGCAAGAAGAAAGTGCAAATTGATTCTTTGTCACGCGACGTTGGTAACGTTTTGAAGCTTCGCGTTATAAACGAATATTATTATTATTATGAGTCCTTGAAGTCTTGCCGCTTTTACCTTATGGTGCCGAGTTCAATCCGTGAGCCTAGGGCGGTCATCAGTCTGCTGGATTACTTGATGGATAGAGTCCTCCTAAGTATGTGAGCAGTTCCAAGGAGGACGGTCTTCT